TTGAACTTTCAGTGCTTAGTGAACCCCCATTTCCGAACAGCATTAGCTTTTCCATGCTCTCTTCTCTCGACTTCAAGAAGGGCTTCACAGGGAGATGAAAGAGGCTATGTTTCCATGATCCTCCATCTCACCTCATCGAATTTCAAAGTTAGTCCTACTAGGAATTTGGTGGTACTCTTTCTCGCTGTGAAGGATGGGGGCCTTGGCGATCAACCCGTCGAGAAGAGCTCGTTTGGAAATTCAGATCCAGTCGATTGTCACGAACATTCCCCTTCTAGCCGACGTTCCACGAGCGGGTAAAGATGATCCTCCGTCTAACGAGGTGGGGTTGGCGGATGATATCCCGTCCTGAACGTGGGTTGAACAGCATAGTCCAAAGTGAATCAGAACTTGGGTGAACAGCTTCCACCACCTTCTTCTTCCTTCTCTCTCTCTCTTTTTATTTATTTATTTTTTTTGAACAGCCTGATGCTTGTTGAAGGTTTTTCCCTGTTGTAGACAAGAATCCTCACGTTGAAAAGTCGCCGGTTGGCGTTGTCGGTGACCGCCCGACCTTACGGACAATCATAGCTCCTAAGGGGTTGACCGGCGACGATGAGGATGCGGTGGATCGTTCGGCCGGTCCTGACAAAGTTTGGGGCAAAACTTCTTAGTAGCGTTTATCATCCCCAAAAGCTTTATCATATCATACGGTGGAACTGGAGACGATTCTAGACCGCAAGGATCAAGGCTTTCAAGCCGGGTTAGAGGAGTTGCGCGTGGAAACAGCCGGTCTTCATCGTGAGATTGTCGAGCTTCAAGAGGACGCACTTGTTGTGAGGATCAAGTCTGAAGCCGACCGAGCAAATCAATTTAAGCTAGGTGGATAAATACTGTTTAGAAGATTAGTTAGGAGGGGTTTAGTCTTGGTTGAGACCGTCGAAGATCAACTAGTAAAATATTTCCTGTCAGACTGAATCCTTGTGTAATCATGCCCTTTATGATGAATAAAACTAAAATATTTGCTTTTGCACATCTCGATATTTTTGACAAGACATTTTCCTCAATTTTCATGAATGATGTTTCATCTTCCGCAATGTTTCTATAAATAGGTGTTGAGGGATCCATGAGCACGCCTTATGTTTTCACCTTTTTGGCTCATTGATTCTCTTCCTATCTTCGGTTTGTTGTTGTCTACTTCATTGATACTCATATGGCTCCGAAGAGGACTCCTCAGTCCTTCGGTTTGGTGGCTGCGGATGAGCAATAAGTTTTGTCATCATCGGACGTTGTTTTTATCAAAGAAACTTATATTTTTCATTCGACCATAAGCTGCGAGCTGCCCGTCCTAATGAAAGGGCGACCGGGAAATACATTAATGATCTGATGATTTACCGCGACCAATTAAATACGGGTTGCGGTTGCCCTTGTGCTATGAACTCCAATCAATTTTCAGTGGGTATGGGGTTATGTCATTGCACAGATTTAGATGAATTTTATAGCGGCAATCATGAAATACATTATCTTCTGCCGACGTAGAGACATCCTATGATCCGTCAATCTATTTAGTTACATGTTCTCCTTTCGCATAGAATCGAATGATTTTGCCCATTTCGGACAATTTTGTCTTGATCTTTGTTTCATCATCTTGGGATCGTGGCTAAGGTACTATTTATGAATTAAACCTATCATGATGCACCATTCGTCGTTGACAATTATATGAGATATATAGTCTTTTCACTATCTCCTTAAGATTTTTAAGGCAATATGTTATAATGACAAGATAAATATGATCCTCTTGCACATGGTTATTAAATTTTGTTGCATAGCCACAATTTTAGACACTTATCGAGTTAATGGCATAGAGATTTATGCTCTACTTTGTTTTATCATTGTTGATTAGCCTGACAGCACATTAAAAGATGGGAAAAATGAATAGAAAGAAGTAGAATATGCATTAAGAAAAAGTTGGGATGTAATAAAAAGTAAAACAAAACTTTTAATTGTGAGGTGAAGTGCCAGAGCTACAAGCAAAATAGTCTGGTTGTCATTCAAATCAAGTTGAAAAATACCTATTAGTATGTTAATGTTCTAGTTGGGGATTGGTAGTGGCTGAGGTTTCACTGCCAGCATATTTTGTCTTTTTTGTTGATGCATTTGGTTCATTAATGTACATTTTTGGGTTGCATTGGTCATCTATGAATGAATGAGAAATGTTTAAAAAATATTCAATTAATGTAGTATTACTTTAGCATGGGAAATGCTTAAAATATATCATGAATCAAAGTCATCATAAAGCAGATTTTCATGCGACAGGTTTTTTCAAGCAGGTTTTTTGGCAAGCAATGATGATGTCCATCATCCCATGAAGCTCAACTATTCACCTAATTTTTTTCTTCAGTCTTGTTTTTTTTATTTGGTTTCCTTGATATGCTCTCTAATTTCTACAACTATTATCTCATTAAGTTATCTGATAAGTACAGATACTTTGATAGTTGGATGAAGAACACGTACTCTCTGCACTATGGTCTTTTGGGATGTCTTCACTTGCATTGGTTTCCAGTTTCTACCCTGGTCTTTGTGCCTTTCAAAATTCAATTGATTTTTTTCTCAGATACAGTGATACTAAGATAATTGATAAGAACATATTTATGCTTGATGTTTTGTTCTTAGAATTCGGTTGGTCATGCATATTTCTTAGAAACAAGGATGTTGCAGTTTGATACTGGGAAGCTCTTTTGATGCTTTGATGTCTTTGGATGGAGCTTCTATTTATAGTTTGATTGGCCCTGAGTTTTTATATGATTATATCATTGAATTTTTGCCTGCTTTTCAGCTTTTATTCTTTTCTTTCCCTTTGCATTTATGATTTTTAATGATTCAGCTAATTAACTAAATATTCTTCTCTAATGTCATTTTATAGGGAAAACCCTCACCATTCAATAATTGGGCCTTTAAGATTGTTTACATTTCACCATGGTTCTTACCCTTACAAACCTTACTATCATGTCACTTTGCTATTATAGCATGTTATCCATTTTTAATGTGTTGTTTTATATTTTTTTTTTAATTTTACTAAAATACTTGTTATGGCTACATGGGGACCAACTTCAAAGGTAAGCTACATGAAAAAAATTTTACCAAGCACAAATCAATAAGTAGTTTAAAGCCCCATCCAATCCCGTTTGCTTTGTTCACACTTCATAGAATCAAAATTATTCTTCAGAAATTTCATTATCTCTGGAGTTTCAGAAAATTTCATAGTTGCACGTCTTTTTCTTTAGATTGTAAGTTATAACTTATTTATATCAATTGATTATCATTCTAAGAATTGTAAACAATTAGTTTTATTTTTGCAACTTCATTTTTTGTATCCATGTTAATTTAATTAATAGAATATGGTTTGTTTGAATTATGTTATTGCATTTGTATGTGTTTTTCATTCTTTATATACCAAATTTAAATTCGGTTTATGTAGAACCGAATTAAAATTCGATTTGACTGGTTCGATTCTCCTGAAAAATTATTTGGATCGGTTATTTGAATCATGGATTTCGGTTCATTACGAATTTGTAAAATTTTCAAACTGATTCAACTGAACCGACTGAATGCACACCCTTAGAAACAATGTGAGTGAAATTTTTCAAAGAAAGCTTAAGTTCATCACAAATGCTATTATGAAATATAGGTCTACAAGGCAAAATCGACTTCTACATGAAGGCAAGACCAAAAAAGAAATTAACATTTGATATATAATATACAGGATTAGGAATAAGATGCATTTTACTCTGTTCACTTTAAAATTAGGATATCAACTTCAAGAAAATGCATTCGAAGCAAGAACTCTTTTTGTAAAAAACCACGGAGGAAAAACATATGGGTAACTTAATTGGTATGCATTTGGCTAGTGGAATGCTTATTTTAACCCCAACAAATAAAATCAAATAAAGAATAAGGCTTCAAACACTTGAAGATTTTTTTTTGGGGAATCTTATGAGCAACTCATAGCAATGCATTGTGAATTCCATTTTATTGCACCGCACAACCGATCGAAAGTACTAAAAGTTCTCTCACAATTTCCTATCCTCATTCATATGATTATTCAAACTATTTAAATATGTTTACTTATTGCATAATACAACCTTCTATAAATTAGCCATTTCAACAAATTGGAATCACATTTGAAACTAAGATTTCCTACAATCATATTATACACCCATATTCGTTAGGGCCACATTTATCGAGTCGTTCTAAGTGCCTAAATAAGGTTCAAGAAGTCGTTGATTGAGAACAGTCCTAAATGGTTTACACCACCAAACTTATAAATCTAAAGTCACCTAAAGCCATAAGTTGTCCAGAACTATATTTCAACTAATTAGCTCTAACTTGACCATCAGCGCTAATTTGTTGAATTCATCCAAAGGATTCATGACGTTGCCCATTTGTTAAGACTATTTGCCCAAAATAACTCATCAACCTGGTCCAAAATACTATTGGTTGACATGGAGTGCCTCTTACCAAGAGTACACAACAAAGGAACTCGCCCTCATTTAAAAACTCAATCAAAATTCCCCTTGTTAAAAACCAGTTTCAGGTCACAATCTCCCATTACACGACTAGCTACAACTGAGCTCAACCTATGAATTCTCTATTTAATTACAATGTTTTGCCAATTTTGTAACTCTGAACTTGATCACCGCTTATAAATAAGTGGTCACTGATCAAGCACAATTATATTAAAATTCTAACAAGAAAATCACAAGACAAAAGCCACATTACATCAAACTATGATTCTCTGTTAAATGTCACTTCAATTCGCTTCTCCGTAGGTTAGTTCGTTTCACCCGTTGCATTCAAAGATGTTGTGCTGGGCTCCTTATAAACCAATTATTTAAGAGATTCATTGGTAAAATTTTGGCATAAACAAAAAGAGCTTAATCACGCATCAATTTACACTCAAGAAAATGATTTTTTGAAGATCAAAAAAGAAGAAGGATGGGATTAAAGGAACTGAACAGCACCCGACAAATCGCTTTGAGAACAGCGGTTGAGCCCCATACTGAAGCGTGAGGAGAAACAGATAGATCCAAACCCTAGGGCTAATTCGGTCCTCGAGCTGACCCCTTGAGGCAGCAAGAGCCATTGCCGGTTGAGAGGAGTGCCGCCTCTCGTCGCCGCAGTCTTTGAACTTTCGCCGGCTTTATTCAGGCAACCGAGGGATCCCAGATAACCTATGTGGTTTTCCAACGAATCCCATACGTTGCTTATAAATCGTACGATTCTATTCTCACCAACAACCATTGGACAATTTTTTTTTTTTTTTTGAAAAAAATTTTGCACCCACAACTTTATACAATTTAATAAATAAAGCAGAATACAAATTAATTAAAACACCAGAACAAAAACAAAAAATTTGGCGATTTCAATATTATAAAATTCAAATTTTTGCTATTGTTTCCATCTCCAACATAACTTTCTCTAGCGATTTCTTGGCACTCTCTTCTTTCTCTCTCGCGAGATATGATCGCACCTTCCAGTTAACCAAGCTCCACTCCACTGCTCTCTCTCGATTTTCCACACTCGATTTTCCACACTGAAAGTCGAAGAAATCCTCCACATTACATGAATTCTTACGAAGCAGGCATTAGCATCACTACTCTCTGACTTATTCATGCTCTCTCTAGTTTTCTATTATGCCACTCATTCTTCGTACTCATTAAATCTGAGCTCCTTCTTCCCCAACACACGAGTCTCATGTCTCCCTCCTTCCACTTTTTTGGTTAGTGAACCCATTAGCATCTCTCTCCGTCAACTCTGACTTGAGCCGCATCTCTTCTCTCCAAAAACTTAGGTACCTTAATCTCGAAGATAAAATAGCTGAAGCAAAAAAAAATACAAAAAATGAATGGAAAACAAGAAGAAAGTATAAGGCAGAAAATGAGTACAACAATTTGTACAATTTCTCTGTATCACATTTGTCACTAATTTTATTGAAGTCGACGAATATATTAGCGGTGTTAGCAATGACAATGCGAGCAATTATCTGGGCGGAGACGAAGCCAACATCGAAGAAAGAGATGTTGGAGACGGATGTGTTAACGTAAGTGTTGATTTTTGTAATATTAAACTTTATGATATGATATAGGTAAATAATAATATTATAAGTGCTATGTATGTAAGAACTACAATAAAAATCCACCGGGGCCAGCAATCTAACAGAAAACCCAAAATGGGAAATGGCACAATAACAAAAATTTTCGAACAAACTAAAACCAATAGTAATAAATATCAAACTCTAAAACCACTCCAGAACTCCAAAAACTTTAGAAAGAGAAGAAATATCTACATTGTCATAACAACAGCAACTAGAACTTCAGAAGTTTTAGGTGAAATATCCACGACACTAAATAGTCTGATGCACAACATATCACTCCAAAAGCTTCAAATGAGCGATGCATGATAACAAAAAGAAAGAAATCTCAATATAGCAGCAAGTAAAACCCCAGAGGCTCCAAAAGAGAAATTCTAATAGGGTGGTGAATAAAATCATTTCAAAATCTCCAAATGAGAGATACTCAGCAGCAAAGAAATGCAAAACAATCTGATTATAGCAGTAATCAAAACTTTAGATGTTTCAAGAGAAACATTTGAAACAAACAACAGCAACCAGAACTCAAGAAAGCCCAACTACGAAAGAAGATCACAAGAATTGCATATATAAACAAATCAAAACTATGATGACAGGAAAAAGAACTCTAAAAGATATCTGAAAAGAAAAAATTCATATCACAAAAAACAGCTAAAAACCCTCAAATGTCCTAATAAGGAGAAAGAATAATACAAACTCAACAACCGAACTTCTAAAAAGTCTAAAAAAATAGTCCAAAATAACAGAACACATCCAAACAAACAACAACAGAAGAGGAATAAAATCACGGAGAACAAAACTGACAGAAAAAACAACAGCAACATTAAAGAAGGTACAAACTACCTGTAAGTTAATAAAAACAGTCAACTAAATGACAATAACAACTAAATCAAAAAAAAGCAAAACAAAATTTTAGAAATTACCAATAAAAAAATAAAGAAATGATAACTTAAAACCTACATGCACATGAATATTACAATTTAATTCATATATTCATGATTATTAGATATCCAAAAGTACGACTGCATTTTAATATATAGTTGAAAAACAACATTTCTTAGCCCAAATATGAACATTTTTAAAAACCAAATGTAAATCTACTCAATATAAGAAAGAGAGAAGCAAATAATCAAAAAAACTATATAAAAATAAAAATAAAGCCAAAAAAGAGATCTCATATTAAAAAGAACTTCATAAGTGTTAAAAAAATTCATATAGCTTAAAATAGAAAATTGAAAGACAGGAAAAGTTATAATATACCAGAAAATCAAAAGAGGAAAAAAAGGAAAAGCTAAAAAAAATAAAACTATACTACCAAAAAAACAATAAGAAACAGAACACCAACTGTCAAAAATTAAAAAGAACACAATGATCGGCACAGATAAATTAAAATGGCAGCAGCAAAAAATATGACAATCAAACAACCATAAAAAAAACAAATAAATGTAAAAGTAACTACAACTAAAAAAGTAAAGCAAAAGCACATAATATGTAAACAAAAAATAAAGAATGGGGAATGATGTAATAAAGGGTTCAAATGTCACACTATCAAAGAAAAATATTAAACCTTCATCCAAGAGCTATATATATATATATATAAGAACAACTAAGGTTTAATGTAAGGCTGACAATCATTATAGCACAAAAACCAACTCTCAACCAAAAATCCCATGTAGTATATAATATGACATAAAATCAAGTAAATTACATGTAAATCAGCCAAGACCTAAAAAAAGTATTTGAAAAAAAACAAAAAATAAGAAAAAAAGTAAATAAAGAAAATCTTCACGCAAGAATAATAAATATATAGAGAGACAGAGAACAAAATACATATTATTGAACAGCGTAGATTTTAAAAAAATAGAAAAAAGAAAAAAAATTGAAAACACTAAAATCAAACAACACAAATAAAACAAAGCTCCGAGATTAAAATAAGCATGCATAATAAAATAAAAAAACACTAAAAGTGATTAAAAGTTGTAGAATTTTTTTATAGAATAAGGAGTACCATTTTTAAATTCATATTGCCAACTCTTAAAGTGATCATCCAATGAATAAAACAAATATTAGAATCAATGGAAGGAATTTTATTTCTAAAAATTCTAGCTCTCATACTAGAAAATATATGTGGTAACTTGCAAACTTAAAAGATGAAAATGCTTGCAAATTTTCAGTGATAAACTATTAAAATGATAAAAAAGAAGAGGTAAATATTGTTATGAGCAATAAAAAAAATTACCATCAGGGAAATTTTTTTTAAGAAGCAAGTGAGAAATTTAGCATTAAAAAAACTTTTCATGTGTTTCATAATCATTTGAACACGAAACATAAGTAGAATTAACATTTATCCCTTTTAAAAATGGAATATATAAGTTTTGAGACCTCTAATAATAATTTTTCATATATGAAGAGCACACTTTAAAGAAAAACCAAACCAAATTAAACAAATTAATAAAAAGATAAAATCACAAAGAAAAAGATAAATAACTTTATGAGAATAGAAAGATTTGTTATTCCAAATACAAGTAAGGTCATTAGTAATAGCAATCATACTAATAGCTTAAATACAAAAATAATGAGCATTAAGATTTTGAGAACAATCTCAATAATTATTAGGAATAATAGCCTTAAGTTTCATATTAAGAAGAAAATTAAACCAGAAAAAATAAAATCACTAAAATGCTCTTTTAAAAAAATTCCATTAAATCAAGAGTCATAAAATAAAATAAAGGGGAATCATTGGTAACTTCAAAACTTAAGACATTTCTAAACTTATTAACTTTTCTACTAATTTTTTCCAAAAAAAAAAGGGGGAAATATAATGACTTAATCGAAAAAAATCATAATGATTAAAAATTTTATCTCTCAAATAAGAATATGAATTATAAAATTTCCAAATAAATTTAATTTTACACATAATAGTTATAAAATCTACAGAAGGAAGAACAAAACCACCAGCTTGCTTAAGCAAAGTTATTTTATTCCAAAAAGTAATATTGAATTTCTTATTATCATCAATATTAAGAAGAAATTTTGAAACTAAAGCAAAAAATAATAATAGTAAAATCTTTAAACCTTTAGATAATAAGGTGAAATAAAACTAATAATACATGTAACTCTAAATAGTGAATTTAAGTAATCGAACAATAACAACATCAAAAAAAAAATGCTTCTTACTAGCAAGCTGCATATGAATTTTATCAATGAGTTTATGATAATTATAAATAATCAACTTAGAATATTTTATGATAATACCATGGTAATCTCAATGTAAATGTTTGACAAAAAAGCAATATAAATTATAAATATATTATTAAAAATTACTATCGATAGTCTTAGAAAAATTAATGACATATTTAAAAATATTAATGCAAATATTAGAAATTTTGCTAAAATTTCTAAGGGTATTAGAAATAAAATTAATATGATTAAAATAAATCTTATTGAAGATAAGAATATTGTCGGCATAAAACAAGTAATTTACAATATCAACATAATTATCTTAAGCCATATGATTATCAAACATAATAGAAAGAGAATTCATAATAATTAAACATAGATAAGAGAAGAGAGAACAATCATGCCTTAAACTCGAAGAAGAAAAAAATAGTACTTTAATTCAATATTAATAATAATATAAAAATTAACATCAAAGGTGCAAGCAACAATTAAATTAATGAAATTATAAGCAATGTCAATATTTTGTAATCTTTTATATAAAAATTGTTTATTAATCTTATCAAAATCTTTAATAATATCAATTTAAATACTTTTTTTTTGTACAATTACTAAAGTTAAAATCACAGAAAATCTCATTTGTTGATATAATATTATCAGCAATATCATGGTCTGTAATTAAAGCGCCTTGTGAATGATATATAATATTAAGAATTAGGGTAATCCACTAACTTTTTCATCTATTTCGAGAATGCAATTAAAGCCATCAAGTAAAATCTAAGGAGAATACATATTATCAATAGTTGTAATAAGAAAATTTCATTAGCTTTTCCTAATATAAACACTATTATCCATATAAATGACTATTTTAAGAAATCATATAGATGAAGAAATAGAAACATACCCATGAATTTATTG